AATTTTTTCAAAATTATTTAGTTAATTGATTTTAGTTGTGATTTAATATTATTTGTACATTTAACAATAAAAACATCTGAAAAATATTTATTGCAAATTGCTAGCTAGTATGTGCAAGTACTTATGAATTCCTTTATATTTTCCCATTCTTCTCAACAGCCTTCTAGTATAGGAGAGAAAGGTGATCCCCATGGGAGTCCTATCAGACAGCTGTTAGACTTACAATCTCACTGAAGGTGTTTTCACCGTGTATGGCAGAGTAGAAAGATTAAGAATGTGAAAGAAAGAAATTCAAGTTATGTATTCTAGAGTTATGTTTTGCAATTTAGAAAAATCAGCAACCCAAAGTACCATTTGTAGAGATATAAGTTTATTTCGACTCCATAATCAGCATAACAGGCAATAAAATGATTAATAAAAACAAATAAATAATATCTGATTATGAAATCAGGAGAGCAAACAAAATCTTAGATAAGGTTTAAAATGTACAGAATATAAGATGGGAAGTTTTGCCATGATGAATTGGTACATCTTTAATTTAAATTCAATTGTTTTTGTTGCATTGGTACAGCATTTGTAAATACACAATTGTTAGCAAGGACATAGTTTTGAAAGATAGATCTTTTCTTTGTACTATTTGGTGGAGTTGACAGTGTAGGATATAAATATGATTGGATTTCATTTGTGCGGCTAGTATTATTTAGAAACCATAAAGCTCCAGAAACTTTGAGTAAAGACATTGGATTCTCTGAATAAGCATGTTTGCTCAATCTGTCAGTCAGTTTTATTCAGAGATATCAAAGGCAGTGTCTCCTTACGTATCACTGACTGCTTTTGCAGAACCTTGTTCAGAGCCCAGGGGTCCAGCCAATGGGGATTTGAGGGTTGGAACTCCCCCCTCCCCCTATTTAAAATATAAAAAACCAACTTCCTGTATCTTACATAGCAATTTTGTTAGTTCGAAACGTGTTTCAGACCCTCAAGACTCTTGACAACCCATGATTTCCAGCCGAAGCCGCAACAGTCTGCCATGTCAATTAGAAATTGCACAACCACCCCCCCTTTGAAAATTTCTAGCTATGACTTTGTGAGGTGATTGAGGTATTTTCATATACCATTATTCATAGGACTACATATGAGACCAATTGATGAGCTCACACCTACATAAGCACGATGTCAGTGTTATGAAGTGGTGCAGTTCTATTTAGCCCAAATGATTTGTTTTTATAGTTTTCGAAAAATTGAGTACATTTTAATCGCACTTTTAGACTCCAATTCCCTATAAGGATAATTTTTTAGGAGTTAAATTTTTTCTAAATTATTCGTAATTATCGAGAACTTAAAAATAAAAATAAACTATTTCCATGCTCGACATGGAACTGTCTAGTTTCGTTAATGAATGCTGATAAAACGAAATTCAAAAAAGTGAGCGTTTTAGTGTTACAAGTGTAGGGTTAGCATGTAAGTGGCCGTCTACAACTTCGCTACTTAATCATTGAGTGAGTATGCGTGACCTTGTTTTGGCTGATTTTCTAAAAAAAACTTGACTCCTATATGCCTGCCTTTCAACAACACATCCAGACATTCTTTATTCAATGTTCAACATTTCGAAACACATCATTTCTAGGTGATTGTTTTCTCTATATTGATTACAGTGGAGTCATAATGAATAATTAATGACATGGATTGTGATGTCATCAATGTTTATAGTCCTCTTTCATTGTCATTCTCAATTGACTTATATCATTCATGAATTTGTTCAATTTTTTAAATAAATGTACTGCAGCCATAAATGAAGTCACTGTTGGTTCAGTAATGGACACTCCAGAAGTATGTGTACCAATATGTAGGTACCGGTAACTAATTTTGTTTGCCTACTTTACATCAAGTTGTATAAAAGGACTAAAACCTATGGGAAGGGGAATATTCACTTTCCTAACACAGACAGTCCCCAAACTCGTAATAGATAATTGGCGCGGCGGTGTGGCTCAACGGGCTAAGCGTTAGGAATACGCTCGCCACCGCACCTCTAATTACTCTGCGTGGGTTCGCAGGTTCGAATCCCATGCAGGGATGGTTATGTGCGAGAGGATTGCTGGACTCCTCGCCGTCGATGGGTAGTTCACGTAACCGCTGGTCGGTTACGGCTTCCTCCACCACCAAGTCCATGCTTCCGAAAAAAAAAAACAATACAGTAAAAAAACTAATCCTATACCCGACTTGGAATGGTAACCGGACGAGAGGCCGTGGTTCGCCATATGGATAAGCCGTCTTATCAGCTTTCCTCTCCCCCGGGATAAATATGTAAATCCTATCCTATCCTAATAGAACTAAAATAAGGAAAATCTGAATAAAATTATGGCTTAACCCTGGTACACACACTACGGGAGTACTCAGTAATCAGCAAGCTGCTTGCTATCACTGATTGGCCATATTGAATTTGGACATTGACTGGTTACATGAACAACGAGGGTACTCCCGAAGTATGTGTACCAGGTTAGGCCATAATTTTATTCCAATTTTCCTTATTTTAGTTCTCTCACGAGTTGGGGGACTAGCAAAGTGACTCTCGTAGTAATTGTACCTGAAATTAGGACCTAACCCTAACCTGGTACACATACTACATTCGGATGTCCACCATCTTGGTTCAAATACTTCAGGTGTATCCCACCAGGTCCTACCTGGAGCATTGTTATCAGGGAAGGTGTAAACCTTTTGTCTTAAATAAATGAGTGTTTCAGCAATTTCTGAAATTCTAGCAACATTGAGGTAAAAATAACTTCATCTGTCAAAAAAGAATTTTTAAATACTGTAAATTATTTCTCGGTTTAGCCCTGTATTTGTGTTCATTTCCTCTCACTTTCCTGCCCAACACTTCAGAATTATTCAATTGGTATTGCTTGATCAAGCATGACCTGACAGCAAATTTCAGCACAGATGTATGGCCCAAACATAATATAAACAAAAACAATCTCATTCTACCTTCAATCTCGTTTCCTGCTAAAACAGAACTTATTTCATTACTTTTGCTCAATCGAGCATGACCTGACAAAAATTATAGGAATATTGTATGCCCCAAACTTTAAAATATAACTTATTCAGCCACTTTTTTTCCTGTTAAAACAGATTTTTTTTTCAATTTTTGCTCAATCAAGAATACCCGTTTATTATCTTTGTATGGCCCAGGCTAGATATTCATTACTCACTGTTCACCCAACATTTATGAATCCGGTGTACTTTGATGCTGAAGGGTTGTCCACTGGGAACCATGGATAGTGAGAAGCAGATCTATTATAGAAAAATAGTTTGGTGTTGGTAAATGGTGTAGAGCAGGGTTGGGCTAGGTTTATGAACCAAGGGCCAAACATTTTGCTACCTGGACTGACGGGATATGTTATTTATGTACATTTTATGAGCAATATTAACAGTGTTATTAAAGCGAATTCGGAAAACAATAAATAAACCTTGTGCCCAAACTACATTCAATCACAATCTCAACAAATTCCATGAGGCTTAAACACCAAAATTTGTTTTTAGTTTGGTTGTGGCAGCATCAGGCGGGCCAGATTAAATTATCGCATGGGCCGGATTTGGCCCTCGGGCCATAGTTTGCCCATGTCAGGCCGAGAGTAACACAGCAGAGTTAGCTAATTTGAGGCAATTCCAAGTTTAAATCAGATCCAATTCATTTTATATGCTTTGTTCATTTAGCGTTTTGAAATTCAGTATATATTCAGGCGTACATAATCATTTTTTGCATTAAATCTTTCTCCGTTTTGTCCGTTTTGTTTACATATGAGCATCCCTGACGGGGTGAAACAAGCACAGGCATTTTATGCTTTCACTTTGAATGTGGCTGTGACCAAGAAATTGCTGATATGTGACCAGCCACAATTTTCTGAAAGGCTAATCTTTCAGATTTGATGACCCTGGGTTTGATGTAAAGCAGGGGTGGGCAAAATACGGCCCGTCGGATAAGTTTCATGTGGCCCACTAGTGTCTGCTGAAATTATGACTATTGTTTTTATGGAAATTTCTGTTCAAAATATCGACAAAAATAACTTCATAATGACCCTAATTGTTACATCGTGCTCCTTATTATTATATAAACGTTAGTCCAACAGAAAGGCTTGTTGGACTAGCTGTTGTAAACGAATGCTTTTTTATTCATAATTTTCCATATTGAGTTTGGAGTCTCCGGCCCAGTAACCAAGTCTATGTAATTGGCCCACTCAGGAAAGTAATTTCCCACCCTTAGTGTAAAGCGTAGGGCTTGAACGTGAGATGTGTAATCGGGGTATGCCGGCATCGTTAATCCCAACACCATGATGTAATCGTGTCCATTATTCTAGTGATCAATTGCTTAAGGTCCAGGTAATCAATTGCAAGCGTAATTGATTTGGCAAATCAAAACTATCATGATCTATGACGTAACTTAAGTCAAATGAAGGTAAATTTAGCGGAAGTTGAGTTTAGGTTATTGACGTTAGAGATATCTTTGCCAGTGGTGTTTCAATTTGCAAGGATAAATTAGCAAAGTCATTACACAGAGAAAGAAAATGTGTTAATTCTGGAACTCTAGATGCAAACGCGTCTTCAATAACAAGTATGATACGAACAAAAACAATCTCATGTATTAAACTGAATATATTGGCATGAATTATAAAACTTCTCCTTAGAGGATAGAGAGATAAAAGAGTTTGTTATTTCTCAACTCTAAATGCTAAATTGTATCCGAAATTTTAAAAGGGAGGCGCGACTTGAAAAGTTTGAGAACCAATGGTTTATATTTTTTACCTTATTGTAAGTTTATGCAGAATGTGGAAATAAAATAAAAAAGGTAAGATGGGAAGCCAGAAGCTTTTCCTTGTCGTATTTCAATGTTAATGAAGTCAATTACCTTCCCAATTTGCTATAAAAGTTAATCATCGAAAATAGTTTGGAAACCTCTACTTTGTGGTTTTTGCTATTCTTCTAATCCTTATTTGTATGTTTTACAGATTTAACGAACAATAAGAAACGAAACTCCAGAAAGAAAAAGAAATCTGGGAACAACGCTGGTGATCGACCGACATCATTACACATTCAGGAGGTTTTGTATATCGCAGATGACGATAAATCTCCTTTGAGGAGAACTGTTTCGGAGACTACAAAAACTTCAACACAAGAGGTCGCTATAGCACTACCAAGTCCTGAAGCAAAACAACGAAAATCTTCGAGAAGAAGCAAGCAATCATCAAGCTCCTCTTCACCAGAGAAACTTTCTTCGCCACCTAGGTCCCCTACTAAAACTAGATCATCTAGAACACCTCAATCACCTGTCAAAGATTACGTTTCTTTTTCGGAGACTCCTGTTTCGTTGAAGGAGGCTCCTACCATCACACCCGTTGTGAGTGAAACTTCTACACTTGTCTCACCGAACAAAACTCCTACCACCACTCCCTTATCACCAAAGAAGACTCCTACCACCACTCCCCTCTCACCAAAGAATACTCCTACCACCACTCCCTTGTCACCACCAAAGAAGACTCCTACCACCACTGCCATATCACCTGTGAAATCACTCCCTTCACCGGTCAAAACACAATCTTCTGTAACTCCAACATCTCCTGTTAAATCTGTAAAAACTAAATCTCCGGACAAAACCGCAGAATCTCCGTCAAAAAGTCGCAAAAAATCTTCTGAAAAAACAGCCGATTCCTTTTTTGTGTTTCCTGATCAATCTACAGAGACGAAAGCTTCATCCAAATCTCCTGAATCTGCAACTTCACCTGTGCGAAGTCTATCACCAACGAAATCAAACGATATGGATTTCAGAAAAAAAGTTCTTACCAGGTCAGTATTTTTACATGCTGATTTTACGCAGACCATGGCTATATATGAGCATCGGCACTCCCGGCCAAATCGAAACATCAGCCAAATAATTTGCCCACCTAGACAAGACTAGGCCATTTAAGTGTGTTGTAAACAGTTTATGTACAATATTTACAATGTTACTAAAGCAATTGTGGAAAACAATAAGTTGTGTGCCAATATTCAATTGCAATGTCGACAAATTCCTTGAGCTATTTTTTTAGCTAAAGCATCAAAATTCGGTTTGAGTTTGATTGTGGCAGCATCAAGCGGGCCACTCGTAATTACCAAGCGGGCCAAATTTGGCCCTCAGATCATAGTTTGCCCATGTCAGCTGAACATAAACTCTATGGTCATTCGCTTCCACTATTTCCAAACTTCAAAATTTTATTCTTCAAATATTTCTCTTCTAGACGGCAAGATTCATGGTTGGATGACTCAGATTCAGACGATTCTGCGTATATCTTATCAGATGCCTCCAGCGATGCATCGGATATCGATCTTGATTGGCTCGGAGTGGATTCTGATGCCGTAAGTATTCATTGTATAGGTATAATTCCTGATTTGTGCACAAGAGTTGAAAATTTGGTACTATTGTAGTATGTGTACCAGGTTAGGGTTAGGCCATAATTTTATTTCAATTTTCCTTATTTTAGTTCAATTACGAGTTCAGGGATATGATTAGTTAGCCAGGTATTTGTTTCAGATACATGGACTTGATGGTGCAGCAAGACGTAACCGACCAGCGGTTATGTGAGCGGTCACAACAGCTATCAGTAGACATACAGCGGTGAGGAGTCCACCAATCCTCTCACACATAATTATACACCACCACATAGAATTATAGTGGTACATTACACTATGTTGAACCAATCCAACCTTATTGATTGTTCACTTATCCTTTCAGTCCACCCAGGGCAAAAAGAAGCAGAAATCCAAGCCTCGCTCCGACTCAGTTGGAGTCCAACGCACGGCATCGAAAGCCAAAGATATGCTGAAACTATGGGAGAAGAAAGCTGCTGCTGAGCCAAAGCTGAAGACTGTGACCTCACCTGTCAAACAGGTATGTTGGCTGAAATGTTTTGAACAGCACATTTTATTTGTAAGACAATAGGAAAGCTGATAGGCGATAAGACAGATTAATAATATGGCAAAACACGACCTCACGGCCGGTTACCAGACCATGTCGGGTATGGTATTAGTTAGCCAGTTATTTGTTTTCAGACGCATGAACTCGATAGTGGTGGAAGCCATAACCGACTGGCGTTTACGTGAACCACCCTACGTTGGCGAGAAGTCCAGCAATCCTCCCGTACATAACTATCTACGCATAGGATTCAAACCTACAAACCCACACAGAGTAATCAGAGGTGCAGTAGCGAGCAGATTCCTAACGCTTAGTACGATGCGCCACACCACCGTGCCATCCCTGTTTTCATCATGTATTGTTATTTCAGCCTAAGAAACTGAGCAGCACTATGGCTGCCTGGGAACAGAAAGCCAAAGAAAATGGACTCAGTGATGCCAGTGATACAAACGGACATGGAAAGTAAGCTATGATCCATTCTTTCATATATTGACTTTATCTGCATGTGAAAAATAGTGCCAGCACTTCAAACAAAGCTCAAAGGTTGCCCGTAACTTTGCCCAGAGATGAGTCTTGTTTTCTACTGAGTGAGTGTATGCTCAGAGATGTGTCTTATTCTTTACTAAGTGAGTGTATGCTCAAAGATGAGTCTTATTTTCTACTGAGTGAGTGTGCATAAAGCATCACCATAATTTTGTATAATTCCAGTGTGAAAATAACTTTGCTCAGAGCTAAGTCTCTTGTGAGTGAATGCACATGTCCCTGTTTAAAAATAGGTCTGACACAAAATAAAATACGTTACAATCTTTATAAATCATTTTCCACCTTAGTCTCAAACATGACCATTATAAGTCTGACATGGGCAAACTACGGCCCGCGGGCCAAATCCGGCCCCTTGAGTAATTCATTCTGACTTGCCTGATGCTGCCACAACCAAACTAAACCCAAGTTTGGATGTTTTAGCCAAAAAATAGCTCAAGGAAAATTTTAATATTTCGTTTGAAATTGGTTTTATAACTTTTTATGTTAAATCGTGGAAGGGTGATCTGGTATTACAAAAGTATTAATTATTTTTAAGATCAGAGAAGTCTGCTTCACCTTTGACCCCACGAAGTCAAAGATCATCTGTTACATCATCACCAAAACGTGAAAGCATTCGTTCAACATCAGGAAGTGATCTGAAACTTGAAGAAGAACCAAAAGAAATACAGGTGAGTGGCAGAAAGAATAGGATAGGATTTTTATAAGTACTAAGGGAGACGAAACTCCATAATAATGCCAAGCCATATGGCAAACCACTGGGACGTGGGATTAGTTAGCCAGGTATTTGTTTTTGACCGTAACTGACCAACTAACTTTCATGTGCCCCACTCTATGTTGACGAGAAGTACAACAATCCTCTCCCACATAAAATCCCCAGATTTCCCTGAGTGGCTTGATTTTCCGATTACAATTCTGTGGAGAAAAATCATGGACCCCTCGTCGCGTAGGGTGGTTCACGTAACTGCTGATCGGTCTCGGCTTCCTCCACCATCAAGTTGATGCATCTGCAGTGAATAACTGGCTATTTATATTTCCCCAGAATAAAAAATTCTATCTCATATTAGTCACCAAGTTAAATAATAATAAATAAAATAATAATAAGAATAAAATAACTCGGATGCAACTTACCACCAGTGAGATTGGTGATTGACTCGACTAGAATCGAATGACTCAACTCGACTTGATTGAACTCAAATGACTCGGCTTGGCTCAATTGAACTCGAATGACTCGGTTTGAGTGGAATGAACTTGGCTCGACTGGACTGGACTAATATCCCTGGCTAATGATTTCGCTCGAGTTGTTGTGTTTAATGGAAATAACCCATGACTTGTAACTTTTTCTAACGTATGACTCTGCTTGATTCGGATGACTCGGCTAGAATTGATGCTTATGGACCCCTACGCGACACTATTAGTCACTTCATTGCAACAGCATCTTACATAATTAGTTCTTTACCTTTCATTCTCAGGAAATATTTGATGAAAAAGTTTCCGGCAAAATCCAAGGAGCAAAAGCTTTGTTTGAGAATCTTGGTCAGTCGCCTGTGAGGTCGCCAAGCTTTGTGAGGTTTGTGCTGGATTATATAATTTTGTTTTGATAAGGTTTTTCATGCTTCATGGCTGCAGGATCCACTGTCTGGTACTCCAGAAGTATGTGTACCAATATGAAGGAAACTAATATTGTTCGTCTACTTTACATCAAGTTGTGTAAAGGGACTTAATCCTATGGGCAGGGGTATATTCACTTGGATAAAACAGACAGTCCCCGAACTCATAATAGAATTAAAATAGGGAAAATTATGGCCTAACCCTAACCTGGTACACGTACTATGGGAGTACCCACTGACTACACCAGGGTGGTTCAAACTCACGCCCACGGGCCACAGGCACCATTATCTGTGGCCCCTACCACATTTGCTGGTATAGGTAACAATCAGTGGTCGAATTTGCACGTTGATTTTGTTTCATCATAAAAATATCCGGAAAAATCTTTGTTACATCACTATTGTCATTGACTAGTGTAATGACTAACTTAGACAGTTAGTAGACAGAGGTAATTCTGATAGGGTGCTGAAATAATGTGCTTGACTGCCCTAAATTGTTAATTAGCTTAAGACAGTTATTCGATTTCTACAACCTTAAATTTCTTTGAACTTTGATTCTATCAAAGTTAAATCAACAAATTGATTCTATTTTTTCCGTTAATTCATAAATTGGGTTTCAACGGAGACCAAAAATCGATTGATAAATCTATTAGCTTAGGTTGACTATGTTTGTCTACTGATTGCTGTTGTGACCAAGCAATATACTCCCAGCCGCATTGTCTCTTTGTAACTAGCCTAAACAATAGCAAAAATTGCTGTCTGTATGTCAGCTGATTCAGTAAATATCAATTAATCATATTTGCCAAACTTTAGTAATTAATCAATCTTCAGTGGAATTTGTTTCGTAAACATGAGTTCAGTATGGCCGACAAAAATAATATTCTGGTCACAGATGCTGATAACCACCCTGAATTTTTTTTTCTGGACCATTCAAGCCAATGGCATATTTACAATCTTTCCTCAATAAATATATCATGTTCAAGTTCAAGGAATGCACGCTGATTGACTCCTTAGCGCCAATATACGACAACACTAGGGAAACAAGCATGCAAACTGTGCTGCCCCCTCAATTCACTTTTGTTACAGTGTTGCCCTAATTATGCATTGAAGGTCCATATTCAGCATTTCACCAGTATCTGTGGCTACTTGTGCAATGCCTTTTTTGTAAAGTAAAGATATGAGATATATACCAGAACAAGCACTCAAACTTTGCCGCTTCCAACTCACTATTATTGCAGTGTTGCGCCTGATTAGGTATGAAGGCCAATATTGTGTATTTTGAGCAATGTGCAATGCCTTGTTAGTAGGGTGAAGATTTCAAAATAATGTCTCACAAAGCAAGAAAACATTAACAAACTTTCCATGTTTCATGACTTTCATTTTCTCATCCAGACCGACTCGCAAACGTGTTGAAGAAAAAGTTGAAGCCAAACCTCGAGTGAAACGAGAAAGTGTCGAGAATTCCCCGATTGTTTCGAGGAAATCATCTTTTACAGACAATCACGCAACGACTGATAGCTCAAGGAAGTCGTCCATCTCTCTGAGTAAGTAACAGAGATTGCTTGTAGCGGGAAAGAGGTACAAAAAAGTTGGCCAATAGGGCTTGTCACAGTGAATATGGTATGAAGGAAGGGCTGCTCACTGTAGGTTGCCACTGCTTGGCCACAGATATATTTTCAGGTGGACCATAAACCTATAAAAATTTCTTGATAAATTAGTTAATTTTGATTTGACTAGCAATGAATAATGATGCTGTTTATTGCTATTTACATTTTTAATATTAAGTGTAAGTATGCATCTTTGCAGAAAGGATATCTTGTTTTTCTTGTAATTTTTCCCTTGAATGAGAAGGTTGAGGGGCACGGAGTTTTTCAAGCAACGAAAGTGGGCCACGTGAGAAAAGAAGGTCGAGAACCACTAGGGTAATCCAAGTGCTTATTGTAGCGAGGAAGAGGTTTGGAAAAACTGGCCACTTACGGCACTTGTTTAACATTGTTCAAAGATTTATACAAATTAATATTCTTTCCAGGCTCGGATTCGAGTGATGACGAAGCTTCTGATGAATCTCCGAGCGTTGACAACATGAGAGCGATGTTCGAGAATCAGGCAAAGTCTAAGCAGAACGTTAGGAAACACAGGTAAGACTGTTTCTTATATTATACAATGGTACTTTGTTGTAGGAATAACTGCCATTGATCTCACTGCATGGGTTCGATTCCTATGGGTAATAATTATGTGTCAGAGGATTTCTAGACCTTTCGTTGTGGTATGGTGGTTCATATAATAGCTGGTCTTTTAAGACTATCTACATCCACGCATCTGGAAATATTGACTGGTTTAGTATCTTCATACCTGTCATGAACCCCCGATACCCAAGATGTTGGGTTTAATGAAAATATCTTGAAACTTTTATGGCTTCTTAACAAAGGCCAATGAATACTTCCTATATGGCGGCAGTGTGGCTTATCGTGCTAAACGCTAAGCGTTCCTCCACCATCAAGTCTATTCTTCCGAAAACAAGTAATTAACTAAACCCATACCCGACATGGAATGGTAACCGGACGAGAGGCCGTGGTTCGCCATATGGTTAAGCCGTCTTATCGGCTTTCCTCTCCCCCCGGGACGAATATGTGAACCTTATCCTTATCTTAGTGGTTCATGTGTTAAGTTTTGTGTAATAAATATGCACATACAATTTTTATCAATCCAGCTCACTCACAAAGACCAAAGTGTGCTCTAATATGATAAACCATTTCACTAGTACAGTCTGAATTGACTTTTGACTTCTCATGAAGGAGCCATTTCCCTCGACTTAAACATGCGAGGAATTTTGAAAAAGGATTTTTATCGCTCTAGTCTAAGAACCCATAGTGGTCCAAGTCCAAAACTTATGGTGTTCAGCAGTTAATTTTGGCGTTGAAATTCTGGAATAATTCAGACAGATATGTTATCAACAATCCATAGTCATCAGGGTTGATGTGGTTATCTAAAATTACTTTTCTAAGACAGGTATTGCGGTATTTGTCGGATTCCATCACATCACATGACTTTCGGATAAAATTTGGGGGGGGTGGTTGCGAAACTTTTTTCAGCCCTTCGTAACTCAGGGTGAATGTTATGAGGTATACATTTTATAATTTAACCTTTGACTAAGACCCTTGACATTTAATCTTTGATCCTCATCAAAACACTGTTTGGTCATTTAGTAATAACACAACATTAACCATAAGGCTTCAACCAATCACAACTCTCATAGCATTTTCAGAACTTACTCCACATCACCACCTAGTGGATTGATCTATAATTAGATTGCTTGCATGAAAAATAATCAGCTTATCTGCTTCTGCTTATCATTGATTTGCTTGCCTTGATTTGCACGGTTTTGCTTGGGGAGAAAATTTAATTTTTTTGCTGAAATTTATTGTCTGAGAAGTGCGATCGACTCTGTAAGAAATGTGGGAATCGAATTCACAAATAAAAACATTTGCAATTAAAAAAAAGAATGGCCATTTTATCTCTGTGCGCTATTGATAATTCATAATCTTATTAGATTCTGGCTGATACAGTGGAAATTAATTCGCAGTGATTATAAAGCCAAATAATAAAGCCAAATCATCTTCTACAGCTAACATTGGAAAACTATGGCCCTCAGGTCAAATCGGGCCCGTTGGGTGATTCAAACTTTATTCAAACCGCCTTATGCCGCCACAACTAAAACCATATTTTTACGTTTTAGCTAAAAAATAGCTCAAAAAATTGCGAAAATTGAGATTGCGATTCATTTAGTTTTAGCATGTGACGCTTACAAGTGCTCCCCTCTCCTCGCGAATATCCTTCCGCCTCTAATTTTGGCTCGCGGTCAATCAACTTTGGGAACCATTGCCATAAACAGAATTGAAAAGGGTTTAAATATTGCCAATATATTATCCTATTTTCTGTATAGTCGAGTCGGTTATAGTTTCAACCTGCCTTTTAGTTAGATTAATTGAAATGTAAATCGTAGCACATAGGCTTTTCCATCTTGGTGGAAATAAATAGAAATACTGGGTAATTGTGGTATATTATGGGAAAAGTTAGAATGTTTCTGCCCAAACTTGACCAATAAACATTGATGGGCTTTTTTCTCTGGGTAGAAATAAAAAAAAAGCACAGAAACCCCCAATAATTTTCTTGTAAAGAATCCGAATAAATGAAATCAAATATTTGTGGATATTTAAGAAGTTATACTTTAAATACGAATCGAGCAATCGTAATTCTGCCGATCTGCTATAGGTCCAGGATTAATTTGTCAGATATAGAGGATGCTTACCTACCCTGCCCATATTCTGTATGCAATACCAATCCGCCTCTGACATTCAAGCTAATACAGTTTAAATTAATTGACAATGATTATGCAGCCAAATTATAGGTTATAGGCTTTCCTCACTTGAATATAGGACAAATAAAAAGTGTGAGAAATGAAAATATCTTGGTCCTTCCAAAAATAGTTACCCTTCGCATATTAGTTAATGCTTATAGAGAGCCTTGTTCAGAGTAAAGGTGTGCAAAAGATCTGATCATTGCCCGGGGATAAAGATGAAAGTCCCTAACTTACCTTAATGTTGGTCGTTGCACAGTGTTCAATCCATGAATCTTATTGTTGTAAAGCAGAGATATTAATTTTTCACGCCATGCGAGAAACAAATCTTAGAAATCTTAGAATTTGCAAATGAAAACCTATGTCCATAATTACTGCTGCTTTATAGGTGATTCCTGCTATGGTACACTATCACATGCTAGATGTTAAGAATACTGTTGTACCATCACTCACAGTACTGATACTGGTCCAAATCCTGTGGTAGATAATTATTTGTCCCACCTCAAAAATAAGTAGCTACAAATAACAAATAGTAAGGCGAAAGTATGTTTTATTCAAAAAACATGTTGAAAAAATACGTGGATGGAATGTTGATATCTAAAATAAAGAAATTTAATTATCCAAAGTAAGGCGGGCAAGATCAGATCTAACAAATACTTTTATTTTTGATTAGCTTCACGCCCCTCAAAAAATATTCTATGCCTCTCTTGATTGGTATGTTGGTAAAAGTAACCTGGTTACAGCTCCATCTACTTTCAAATTTGTGCGCATCTGATACCAATAACTGATCAGCTATTTCCATACCCGACATGACTGGTAACTGTACGAGAGGCCGTGCTTCGTCATATAATTGAGCCGTCTTGTTAGCTTCCCTCTCTTTGGGATAAATAAATAAAACCCCATTAGAATTGATATGATAATGGATTGAAAAGTCATTCTCAAATAATCTGTGAGCTAAATTTCAACTGGCTTGAGAGCTGGTGCAGTCTAGTTATAAATAACTTTTTTAGGAGTTCGAGAAATGATAAAAAATATCTTCCAATGAAAAATCTTTCACAAATTTTATGTGTTATTCCGCCCAACTACAGAAATAAAAATGAGCCCGAAACTACAGCTGTGAATACGACTCCTATGTCTCTTACAGGAGCCTTGCTGAGATGGTTGCCGATGACGACAACTGTGACATAACAGACGTTAGGAGCGTAAAAGCAATGTGGGAATCAATGGACAATCGCAGGTGATGTCACAATGCACGTTTGTGACATGACAATGCACGTGGTGGCGCACTAACTCAATTAACCAATATGCATTGGACTACACATTGGAATCACAATTAACTCTCTGCTCATTGGCTCCACCTTCTGGATAGCATTTTATAGTTCTGCACAGTTTCAATGCCTGAGTGATTTTTATGCATCATTAGCAGCATGTCACACTTGAGTGATGATGTTACGCTTCATTAAACTTTCATTATCTGAGTGACTTTTGCACATTCTTGTACTCGGTTATTATTTTCTTTATATTTTATTTTAATTATTACATCATAATTATCTAGTAGTTAGCATCCAATCAGATATCGTTGTGCAATCGACCGTGGTGACCTGCAATTGTGTTATTTTCCCGCTTATTTTGTTTCAACCAAGGAGGTCGCGACCTGATTTCGCCTCCTTTGGATCTTACGCTACGTATATACTTTACCTGCTTAGCTTGTATTAGAAAATTTTCCTATCTCGTTTGTAAATTTACGCTTTTGCGGCCGAAACGGATATCCGTATAATAAGTTTCAAGTTATTGGTGTTGTTTGACCCACCCAACATGGACAGGTAACCAGATAAGAAGCTGAGCCTATGAATAAGTCGTATTGCCATCTTATGGAAATCCCATCTCTTATTTCGGCACAAAACACACGAATAAAAATTATAAAAAAAATCGTATAGACGAGTATGAATATCTGGAATTCAGCCGTAATTTCGAGTTATTGAATTCTACATTAAAATATTAAAATGTTCGAAATTGTCATTTCATTTTGAAATGTGGAGCTTTATAGATGATACACATTGATTCGATTATACAGTCTATCAATAGGAGTTTGTGCAGAGCAATGTGTGACAATACCTCATAAAAAATTACCATTGTTTTTACTGACTATCGTAAGGTGGTTGCCCATTGTCTGTGGTAATATTTAGACGCATCTCAGGCCAACTTGTTGTCTGCCATAAGATAAGGCGAGTGCTCGCCACGGAACTTATAGTAAAACATGTGCAGCTGATGAGAAGTAGGCGATATAGTTTATCCATCGTTTCAAATGCGTATGTACGGCACATTGCAGAAATAATTTCATTTAAAAATCGTACTCTTTGAGCGAGTCTCACGATCTAACCCAAAAGAATCGATAAAAACAGAGAACAAATTCAACTTTTCGATATTTTGAAATCATTGACTTTTATGCGTTTTCTGGCGAAAATGACCCAATTTAAAATTATTCGATAATCAAAAATATTAATTCAAAATGTGTTCGAAATATTACATTCTGATTTGGTCATCTCTGATCTGGGCTTATAGATCAATATCAGCTTACGTTATTTTTCTTGGTCAGATGTTTCGACGCGATAGCCCATATCTGCCACACAGACTGAAATAATTCATTCATTCACAACTTAACCTGCGGACGAACAATTTTACCTTTTAATAATTTAAATATGAATATTGAAAGTGTTCTAATTCAGCAATCGCTTGCGCTTAATGTAGTTAAATGAGTGTGCAAATCAATATATTATGATGTCATATAGTTCCTTCAACCTTTTCTGTGTTACGTCACAAAACGTGAGACATCTTTTTATTGTGATGGAATTATTGTAATTTAGTTGGAATGCATTATTGATTAATAAAGGAATATTGTTACGTGACAACGTTGTCCATGGGAGTTATCGTCTGCAGTTTAATATTAAAATATGAGGTTTTTAATAAGGTTTATTAGTAGATCGTGGCAGGGAAATCGAATAGCGAGCTAACGTTCTGGTGTGTGTTATGGAGGGAGTTTTTATATTAAATTTAGTTCTTGCTGTTTTTGAGCTTCAGTGTGGCGACTAATCTATGCTTTCGCGCTGGTGGGTCCGTATTTATATCGAGTCAAGTTTAATTTATTCGGCCAGTAAAAAAGTCAGTTGTACAACAAAATAGGAAGAAAATAGATAACCAAAAATTTTGACTGGGAAAATGAAGCCTCAAGTGTGCCGTAGTAAAATCTAAGATGACTATCCTAAGTGGATGTATAGTTGTTAGTCTAAATGTATTTCTGTGGGACTGACCGCTCTATGCTTTGGCTCTGGTGGTAAGACACTGACACTGTAAAACACTGATTAAAACAAAATAAACCTGGTTAAGACATATTGAGAACTGACTCCATAACAAAATTCTAACGAGACTTTATAAACACCCTGTGTATCCGCTAAGTTTCGTCTGACCACGGTCGGACTTCCACCACTTCCATAAATTTGTTGAACAGTTGTATATTTACCTGAGAATTCATATTGGGCCATCAATACGGTCCGCCATGTTTGGTCGGGCTCGCGTCTAAGTTGTCGCCTTAGTGCGCAATCTCTCGCTATTCACAATAGCGCATTTGTTTATTTTTAATATTATTCCTATTGTCTCGTAACTTTATAAAAAAGTTTATTCAACTATGTCATCACAGATATAGCAAACAAATGTAGTATTCGCTAACAATTCAGACACTTCAAAATCATTCAGACCACAGACTAATCGATGAAAGTTGTCGTTTGGATATAGATTTCCTAAATAAAAAGCTAGATATAAAAGTAAGGTCGGCCATCGCGGATAGACAATCTACAATGAGAATTGCTCGGTTTAATGTTAGTAAAGTTGCAACTTCTCATTCATTATAGTTGGACTTCAGTTTAAGAGATAGGAGTATACTATAGTCGGTCATTCCCGAAAGACAGTCTATTACGGCATTAATTCTATAAAACTGGAGTGAATAGTCCAATGCCAGGTATTGGTAACTTGCTCACTCATGCTTCAGTTTATGACAACAAATATTGAAGAGTCTATAGCCGGACATTGCGCATAGACGAAATAGAAATCTACCAGGGACTTCAGGCCGCATCAGCATGAAAAGGACTTCTGACTTAAACCCGACAAAACGCCGGCATGCCCCAGTGTGCTTGTATCCACTTAGACATGACGTTTGAGACATTGTATATCAGGGATGAGCAAGGTTTTTGGACCAGGGGCCAAAAATTTTGTCCATCTAGACTGGCAGGCCATGTAAGTGTGACGTAAAAGTTTACATTTTATGAAAAATATTTACAGTGTTACAAAAGCAAAAGTGGAAAAATAGAAGCCTCGTGCCAAAACTAAATTTAATCGCAATTTCAACACACTCCTTGATCCAATTTTTAGCCGAAGCATCACAATTTGATTTTAGTTTGGCTGTTGCAGCACCGGGCGGTCCAGATTGAATTACCCAACGGGCCGAATTTGGCCCGCGGGTCGTAGTTTGCCCATGTCAATAATATACGTATAGCCATCCCTCTCCTAACTGGTTGCTACATCGGGTTTCTGTCTTCAGCCACCTTCTATTATGCACTTCCCACAAATGTTAATTTTCGACAAAAAATTTGATTAATGTGCATCAGTGTTTTAAATTAAACCGTGTTTGGGTGCGTATAATGAGTTTTCAATCACGGAAGCAGAAATAAGTTCGGCCCAAGCACGATACGATGATAACATGGAAAGTGTATCTGATGATCGCATGCGTCCTCATTATGATCGAATAACGGAAGCTTTATTCACGAGCTACCATCAAATTGTGACATCATACTTCCCAGACTAGAGTATTTGTTACCGCACAAATACTGTCGCTTCATAGCATACACAAGGATATAGCGTACAGATAGGCTGAGTAAGCAGGTTTTATGGATAAATGGCTGAGAATTAACCGCTAATTATAAGGTAGCTCCCTTTTCAGTGTGATATAGAATGGCAGTATAATGCGATTCACCAGAATGTCATTTTCCAACAATAATTATTGGATTTGAATTTTGTTTGTGACTCTTCTATTAGAATTGTTTTCGGAGGTACTTCATCCCACCACATATTTCTTTGACCTTAATCCAAGGTCAAAATGAATGAGGCGGCAGAATCGAAGCAAATAGGTCAGAAGATTAGCGGTGGAGCATTCCCAGGATAATACTAAATGTCCCTGTTAGATCGTTGCAAACTGATACACTGATACACTGATTGGAAGCTTCACTCTCTCACACCGAACAATTGGGATATACAGTTGTTACCTTGGCAAATACGATTCATATATGGTCCAATATACGTGAGCAAATCTGTAGAGTTAGCGAGAAAGTTTTATTCAGTTCCTGAATCATTGGCTAAAATTAGGCGACTTCAGTTCCAGCCTGATAGCCTCGTATTGCTTTTCAAATTACTACCTAAAGCGTCATTCTCACAATTTTTGAAGTGATTAGTTTTTTGTGCTCAAAGCTAGGTTTCGATTTCAACTAAAAGCAGAAATATTATTGAACTAGTTACAAGAATCCGCTGATGCACTAAACCCTATATAGAGGTTGTAAGGGTTGACCTGGTATAAAGCACTACATATTAAATAGCTATGAGTGGCCCATACTTGCCCAAGTACATCTCAGTCGCCCCCACTCAACTGTTAAGTGCGCTCTTGAACAGGACACTGTACGATGTTGCACCATAGATTCGCCGAACAATAGATATAGACGTAAACACACAAAATTGAAATAAGCATAAAGCAATGCGCCCATAAGGAGATAGTGTAGTTACATGGAGGGGCGTTCCTCGTCTTTATGTCATGGAGTAATAATATATTTGTATGTTAAGACGTTACTTTTTATCTCATGATTCCATCCGATCCCGCTCACCATAAAGTGCGTTCTTGAACAAGACACTGTTGGAACACTCATTGTCCACGCAATAGAGATCAATACGCAACATAACTATATGGTAGCAATCGTTGGATGGTGCCCTCATAAGACCGTAATGAAGTTATACTGAGAGACGTGTTCAGGTAGTCATTGGCCGCCTATCTCTAAATCGTATTCTGATGTCACGTATCTTTGTGTTATGACGTCACTGCGTTGTGTCATATGGTGACGACACTTGAGCTAAATGTGATGAAATTATGTTTTATGTACATTCAGGGAAAGGAAATATGATACGGCTCAATGATAGAATCGTTTTCGCCTTTTAGATTTATTCATGGCATAACGTGGCCCATGGTTGTGTTAAAGTTTCATATCGGCTACACGGAATCGTAGTATAAATCGTTATGCGTTACAATCAGTATACGTGGAGTCAAGCATATCTTATGTAGCTGCTCTCAAAATCACATCCGTTGTTTATGGAAGAGGCCTTCTAAGTGTCGATGGTACCATTTTCAATTCTTCACTTTATTAAGTCAAATTATACTAATATGACTGTAAATTACGTTTCAATTTGACTAACTATTTTGAATATACATAATTATATCTGGATTATGCTTGACTGACAGACAACCAAGCTTGCTTATTGGGAACTATTCGAAACTTCTATAATACAGGTACTTATCGCGATGTCATCATTACGTCATCGCATGCGTCATTTCATTCTATCATTATTTATTTCAATGTTTTGTGTGATTTTATTGCATGGTTCATGTCCAACATCAAACATTTGATACTTAAGGAAATGCTATATTATTGAAAGCCTGGGAATCTCAACAACACGGTATTGTCTGTCCCATTTATTGCACCCTGGGTGAGGTGATGTAAATGCGGTTTGAACCCTGGATTTTTATCCTCTGATAACATCAAAGTTAGGACTAACTATGTATTCACAAATTCGAGGACCAAAAGCGAGTTTCTGGACAGATAGCCACAGAAAAAATCTGGATTTTATCGCTTAAAGCGACACATTTCCTACCGTCAGCTCAGAACGTGACAATTTCAGTTCGGCTTCATTACATCGAAAATCTAAACGACCTAGGAATAAGTATAAAACCACATGCAAAGCCAGCAATCACATAAATAGCTATTTCCAATTATATTTCGCCTAATTTATCCCGACACGTTTTTGCGTTCAGCTACCCACGGCCGTATATGTATCGCATATATATATTTAGCCCTTACTAAATACGGCAGACGAAAATACATGATGCGAGTTTGGCACGGGTCAAAATCTACTTATTACGTCATATTACATGTCTGTCGTCTGTTGATTATGATCGATCAATCGCAATTGAATTCAATCGGTGCCATGAAGCAGATATTAATACGCCATACGCAAATGACTTTTTTGCGCCATTTTGACGTCTTCGAATAAGGCTAACAAGTAGCCACTGTTTTGGGGTCAGAATATTACCGGCTGGGACATTAGTATCCAAGTAAGTACATACACGCTGGGCGAGGTGATTGGCGATCGATTTGGGGTTCGAAATATCAGACATAGTTCGGTCCAACACACTAACCCAATGGGGCGCGCCCTCCGAGAACAATTTTTTGACGTGGCATGAATCTAAAAATAAATAAAAAATATTTGATTGATTTGATCTCCCACGCCTTATTTTGAATATTTGCATTCATTTATTTTGGATATTACGTTCCACGTTTTTTCAGCGCGTTTTTGGAATAAAACCCACATTCGCCTCATTATCTGTTATTTGTAGCTTATTGCTAGCTAGTTTTCTTTTTTTTGAAGTGGTGCGCGAGACTTGACAAGTTCTAAGAACGGGCGCGGCTTGAAAAATTTGAGAACCAATGGACTAACCGTTAGGCCCTCGCACCTACTTTCACGTTTAACATTCATATTTCGTTGATTTTTATTTTCTTGTTTCTAAAATGACACGGAATTAAGTTCCGCTACAATTGTAATTACCGTTCATCCTTGATATATTCGAATATATTCAAGTGCCTAATTTATACGATACAATTTTTGAATTGTATCAGTTGAACTTCCTCAAACGATGCTTTTTAGAGATACCTTTTATTCACGTGCTGCAAGACTCTTGAATCATTTATACTTTTTCTATTATTTTCATTTTATCTTTTTCTAGTGTGTCATCTCCCCTCCCCCGAACCTCCCCGAGTTCCTAGCAAATCATTTATTCTCAACTTTGATTTCACAGATCTTCAGATCAAGACGAGGAACCGAAACGAAAACCAAAGAAGCAGTCGAACATACAGGTAACAAGGCGTTGATTCCAATTAGCCTATGTTTCGCCGCCTCTTCGGCATTGCTGCTTGAAAATCATTATCGAAAAACGCCAGGTTTAGGGCTAGAAAAAGTTTGTAATTTGTGATATACCGTATTGCTGTCGTTTCGCCCTTTATAATAGTTTTATTTCTCGTCAAAAAATTGGATGGCGACAAAACGATCACCTTTTAAAAACCGCTGACTTGACTTGACGAAATTTCTATGCTAAGCCCCAGTTTGTGTAATTTTCCTTCACCAAGTTTTTTCCTGAAGATAATGTCAAAGACGGAATACTTCTAAAGGCCTTATTATCATAAAATTAGTTGGTCAATATATCGTTATCAGCAAGTTAGCGAGAGTCCCTGCAGCAACTCTATAGCTCGCGACCATTCATTACGTCATTCCATAATTTACGGAAATCTAATATGACGTCACAGTAGATTTTCACTATATTATGACGTCATAAATGTTCAATTTTCAAATATACTCTCGCGACTATTCATGGCTTCATTCCATATATTACGGAAATCCAATATGACGTCATAGTGGATTCTTATAATGACGTCATTTTCAATTTTCAAATATACTCCGTTCAAGATAATTCTGGGTTTGCCACTATATATGATTGTTTATAGAGCGCACGAGACCTCACTTCCACAATCAACTTTATTCCAACTTTCTAAATTTTAAAACCCTCTTTTTGACTCGCAGAAAAGAGCTGCAGCTAAAAAGAAAAAAGGTCGAAGATCTATGACGCAACCTGTTACATCGGATGACGTCATAAAAGCAAAAGACATGATGAATGGGAAGTGAGTCGTAAAATACATTACTTTTATATAACGGCGCAATAAGGAAGTTTTAATGTTTATTGTGTGTTAATAATTTATTTGTATTCTCATAATACCAGAACAATTGATATTGACATACTCTGTTGACCCCATTGTTAAGTCATTATAAAACTTTATTGTACTATGAAATAAACGTAAAATTTATTACTTTACTCGGTATTTCAAAGTATTTAACTGTAAATTTTTTAATAGTATATCGGGAAATCTATTTTTTGAACCCTAGCCGCCTTTATTCTTCCTGGCCTATCGCTGTGGATACATAGCCTGCAAAGTGCGCTATTAAAGTGAGCTAAACTTTAAGAATGTAAACTAGGTATATTTGAGATTATGGACGAGTTAATATCCGATATCTGCTAACGACGTCTACCCAATATCTCGTATCCATGTTAGGCATAATACAGAAGTTTATTTTTCTCAACTCTGGCTTCCTAAATCCTTCTTGGCATATCACCGCGGATCTGTAGCTCATAAAGTGCGTTGTTCAAATATTTTTGAATGTGAAGGAAAGACAAGTTTGAATAAGGGCAGGTGCGAGTCAATTTCCGGTTCTGTTAATGTTTCATCGACCATTCGCGACCACATAGGCGGGCTTATTAGGATAGAGCAGCATAACAAGTTACTATTCCCTGCCAATCGCTGGTATTGTGAACACTTCAATGAGTTTCATATTTCGGTGCTCAAATAGCGAACGAGAATAACTAGGAATCTTTAACTATTATGACTCATAGACAATTCAAGTATGAGGCCGCGAGAATTTCTAATGGCTCGTAAGAGGTCGGCTGTCTGTTGTTAGCAGGAATTTTAGAAAAGAAAGGTATGCTTGTCTGCATACCCAACCAAACGTTAGTTCATACAATTTGCCAGAGTGCAAACAGACAATAAGCGATGTTTGATATTCACTCGGGAAAGTCTAGGATAAATAAATAAGAACTACATAATAGTAATTCAGTTGTGAGAGACGTAATCAAGCTTGTCAAGTTTTCCAGTGACTTATCATGCAAGGTTCTGGACTGCCAGTTTTTATTCGTTGTTTTAGGAGGGAGCTACGTACTCGACGGCCCATCCAACCAAATGTTGGTTTGAAGATAGGAGTTATTCAAAGTGTAATAAAATCATAAGCGATGGTTTGGTATTAGGAACTGATCAAAGCCTCAACTTGTTATTATGTACTCGCGCGTAATCCGCTATCATAATTCTATATCAGCGGTTCTCAAACGGTGGGGCGCCCTTCAAGGGGCGTATAGATAATTTTGAGGGGAGTTAGGTTTGATATCACTCGCCTTTCTTTTTGAATATTTACATGTTTTTTTGGATATTTTTCGTACGTTTCGTCAACGTGCTTTTATTAAAACATACTTTCGCTTTGCTATCTGTCATTTGTTAGCTATAGTTATTTTGATGTGGGGCGCGAGACTTGACAAATTCTAAAAGGGGGCGTGGCTTAAAAGTTTGAGAACCACTGTTCTTTATAGTTTCAGCAACTCTTGGCATTTTAGTGGCCGCTTGTAACTTTGTACAAAAATGAGTCTCTTTTACTCGTGCGTGATTGCGTGTATTGTCCCATCAATTCAATATAGTTTCTGTGGCTATTAACATTTCAGTGGAAGTCTGTAACTTTTCTCATGGATTAGCCCCTTTTACTTCTGAATAAGTGCGCGTAATGCACCACCATATTTCTATATAATTCCAGCTTTTTGGAATGCTGAGGGATAGTCTCCTTCACTTCTGAATGAGTTCACATGACCTTGCTTTGAGCAAGTTCTCTTTCTCGTATTTATCAACATGCCTGGAAAATTTGGATCGGCCCATGTTTGATGAAGCTTAATCATTAAAGTTGTAAAGGCTAATTATTATGTCATAAGTTTATTTTGATTGATGAATAGTTTGCAAGTATTATGTCATAAATCATTAATTATTGCTTCATAATATTTTGACAACGCTGGCTTGAGGGTTAGCTAAGGATATCGATGTACAGCAAGTATTAGTTGTTGAAACGCCGTTTAGGCCTCGTCCAAATTCTCTTTAGTGGAACACCACGTATACGGGCTTGGTTGCTTAGAATGAGATTGTCGAGAATTAATAGCGGCCAAAGTGTGTAGTCCCAAAGAGGTTGATCTGTAGGGACATTGGGAAAAAGCTGCTATTCCTAGTTTCCTAGCCTACATTCATTTATCATTTAAATATTCTTATCTTTATCATGGCCACAATGAATTGAGATTCTGTGGAGGAGAGAGCAAAAAAGCATAGAGATTCTAGTTACTATAGAGAATGTATTCGGCATATTTTTCGCTCGTCTTGATTTGAAATGCTTAAAGTCTGACTTCAATTGCCATTTACTAAGTCGCAATGCACGCCATAGGTGTAATGTTTAATTGGCAATGCGCCACCACTCGGATAAAGGTACATTTCAAGTTCGCTCGCAAATTTGCTCAGAAATGAGTCTTGTTTACTTCCGAATGAGTGCGTATAATGCTCCGCCATGATTCTGTATACTTTTAGTACCTCTCGATTTTCACACGACCGTCCGTAACTTTTCACAGAGAGGAGTCTTATTTGCTTCTGAGTGAGTGCGTGTGACCTTCTTTTGGGCAAATTCTCTTGAAACTAAATGCCCGTTCTTTCATTTACCAAAACTTGTCTTTGAATTTACTTCAGCAGCTCAAATCAACAAACAGACTTTCCTTCAAATATGGCGATCTTTCATAATTACGTGACGGCGATATTTTCCCCGAACGTCAGTGCTGTCATCGCAATATTTACAATTCTGTACAATTGGTTTGACTGCAAATTCCAATTTTAATCGTACCGTGAGTTTGCCAAGATTTCGCTTTGTTAGATCCCGACCAGCCATGGGAATATCTAACTAGTTCATCCTGCAAGATATATGGACTTGCATAGTAAATAGAGCCACAACGCTTACGTGACCATTTTCAATTGCGAACTCAGGTTCAGTATTGTGACGTGTCAATCGGTATTTGCCGACGCGTATTGGGCCGCCGTAATTATGTACAGTTGCAGTAGATTGGGCATTGCAGTGGTGCAGGTCACCCCGCTGAGCGATAAGTAACCTATACTTCTGAGTGGGTGCGCCATTGTAACTTTGCTCCCAGAGATCAGTTTACTACGCTGTGTGGATGCATTTAGCATTCGAAGAGATTTTTTTTAGAAGTAACTGCGCTGTCACGTGACCTACACAACAACCACATAATCGAAGTAAAATTTACATGAATTTTAAAAGCACGATTAATTTGAGTCGCTCAATATCTATTTTGATTTTCCGACAAATTCCTTCAAAATTGCCCGTTTGGCGCTAAAACGCATCGTAGCATTATGATAAAATAAACCGATAACAAAAACCGCATTATTTTCCAATAATGAAATTTCCGATTCAATTATGATAGAGACGAAAAGTCTTTGTTGGTGCTGTGACGAATATAATGATCATAATAATGAGTCGGGAAAATTGCCGCGAGCGTTTGATTGGCGGATGCATTAACTTTTATTAGTAAATTTAGGTTATTTTAACTGTCATTTTAGGGTAAATCGACCGACTTTTATGAAAAATATTGTTCTTCGCTGATTCATAAGCGCTGAAAAACTAGGTATTGTTAGTACAATTCAACTCAATCACTCCCGGGAATCATCCAGGCATTACTGGACAGCATAATCTTGTGCTATTGTAAGCCTGTCGGTGCTGTTATTTCTCGCTCTTTTGTTTCTTGGGTTAGATAGAGGTCAGATTTTTTTAAATTGAGTTTTACTTCAGATATGATAGATCTTTAGGTTATGTTGTCGACTTGTCAGAAGTCCTGCAATAGGCCTATGTTTGCATATCATGATTCGTACGCCATCGCATAAGAAAATCACTGAGGCGTGACTAGTCAGAATAACATTATGGGAAATGTGTAGCTTCAAAGATGAAGGATTGTTATATTTGCGTGTAGTATTGGGAGTCCAAAAATTATTTTTAACGGAGTTTATCGAAATTCGAAAAATCGAACAATAGAGGTGAAAATATACTATGAAGATGACTCTTCTGCTATGAATAGAGCGCCTATGAGCGCCTCCTAAAAACTTTATGCAATATTAAATTCAATATGCCATCTTTTAAATCTTGTTGGCGGGTTTTAACTGATTTCTTTTCGGCTGATTTATCAAATTAAAAATCAAATCACGTCAATTTTTTTCTCCGAAATGTTATAGCTGAACGTATATTAGAAATATCCTAACGTAAGCAGATATGCTGCATACGCTCTGCAGTGTAATTACTTCCGACAATTCATAACTCAGCCTCCATATCATAGTTTCATTCATTTGTATCAATTCTGGTAGAGGGAGTGTGCCAAAGGATTTAGTTTAGCGAAATTCAGGACCTTAGTCAAGCAGTAAAGGTGTATTTATAGCAAGGGTGGACAAGGTTTTTGTACCAGGGGTCAAATATTTTGCCCACCTCGACTGGCGGGCCATATAAGTGTGACGTAAAAAGTTAGCTTTCACGAACATTATTACAACAAGCCTCGTGACAAAACTAAATTTAATCGCAAATTCAACAACTTTTCTGTGTTATTTTTTAGCTAAAAGATCAAAATTTGATTTTAGTTTGATTGTGGCAGCATGAGGCGGGCCAGATTAAATTACCCAGCTGGCCATAGTTTGCCCATGTCAGATCTATAGAGTTTAGCGGTAAAATTGTTTTCCTGATTCTAATTATTTGATAATTGGATCTCCAGAAGTATGCGCACCAAGATGGCGCACAACCTAAACACAGTATGTGTGTACCGGTTAGGAATCAGGCTGTGCGACACCTGGGTGCGCATATTTCTGGAGCACCGAATAATTATTATTTTCCCTTCCTCTCGCGCACTGGCGCTCACGAAAAAAAGTCCGAACAAGTCTAACCAAAGCAATTCCTCTCAATTATGTTCCAAATTAAATCTTGTATTATTCATCTTACGCACTGA